CAACGCGTTCCCCGACCCCGCAGCCGCGCTCACACCGACCCCCGCGGGATACCGCGCAGGGAGCGGCTGCGGGAAGCGAACGGCAGGAGAGGCAAAGGGGCCGCCGGGAACACCGCGAGCATCCGTCGGCAGCCCGGGCACCAACCCCGGACAGCCCCCCCGGTGCCCACCCCGATACCCCTCCGCAACCACCCGGTGCCCCCGCAGCCCGCCGCCCTTACCCCTCTCCGCCGCCTACATCCCGCGGCTGGTGCGGGGCGGCCCCCCGACGGCCCGGCGCTGCGGGGCTGGGCACGGTTCGGCCCGGTTCGGTTCGGCACGGCTCGGCTGGGCTCGGCTCGGCCCGGGCCGGCGCCCCGCGCGTGGAAGCGCGGCGGGAGGCAGCATGCGAGTGGCGGCGGCCCCGCAGTGCAGCGCGGAGCGGAGCGCGGCCGCCGAGGCGCAGCCAAGACGCGGCGGTGGATTTTCCCCGGGAATCAGAGCGGGAGGCGGCGGCGGCGGCGGCGCAAAGATGGCTCCGGTGCGGCTCTGCCGCCGCCTCCCGGCGCCCCGCGACCCCCCGCTCCGGTGCGGCTCAGCCGGGCCGGGAGGGGGAACCCGCGGGGCCGCGCACGGGGACGGGCAGCTGCGCGCCTTGGGGGTCCCTCCCACCCGTGGGCTTTCCTCCCGGGACCCCCCTTTGCCCTCCCGGGAAGCCCCGAGGGGCTCAGCCCCCTCCCCCTCCCAACAATGCCGGCGGCAGCCGCCCTCTCGCAGAGGCCCTCGTGCCAGGAGCTGTAATTTGCTAATAATAATAATTACAGCACTCGCAGGGGACAAGTGCAGCAGAACAACGGGGTGGGGAACGCCTCGCTGCGTGCAGTGGCGGCGGTGGCATGGTGGCAAAGCCCGGCCCTGACCCAAAGCCACCCACCAGTCTGGACGTGGGGCAACGGCACGGCCCCTGCGAGCTCCTGGAGCTGGTTTTGAGGCTTTTTTCCCCCTTAAATTGTTTTCTTAAGCAGCCACATTCCGTGCCCTGTGCCCACATCCCAGCACTGCGGTCCTTGCGCAGGCCGCTGTTACCACGTGCTGTCACAGCTTACAGCAGTGGTCCCATCGTATCCCACCACACCAAATAGGGCCACAGGGAGCCGTGGTTCGCCAGCACAGCCCCCGGCCTGCACACTGCCCCCATCTCCATGCTCGACCCCCCAGCTCCTGGTGCACGTGGGGACCAGCAGCGCTCTGCCGACCTCCTCACGAAGTTACATAAAACAATTAAAATTTCATGCGTGCTCCTGAAGGCGAATAACGGGGCTGCCGATGGGGCTGGGTCACGGCACGGCGTGGGGCACGGGCGCGAGTGGGCCGTGCTGAGATGCAGCAGCACAGCGTGCAGAGCTGCGGGCACAGCACGGCGCCCAGCCGCACCCCGGCCCCTTGCGGATGTTCCTGCCTCGGTTTGCGGCACGTGGAAATCCCCCCCACCGCAGCGCAGTGCCCACATCCATGCAGCGCAGCCCCTCTGCCCCCAGCAGCGTCACCAGAGGGATGTGAGGGGAGAAAGACACGGGTTTTGGGGGTGCCGGACGGCGCGGCTGGGGGCCGAGGCCATGCTGTAGCAGCGGGACCCCGCGCAGCCCCTCTCCCCCCGCCCGCTGCTTTACGTCCTCCCAAAGCATCGACCGTGCCGAGAGCCCTGCCAGGGGGCTGAGATCCCCAGGTGTGGGGCAACCCGTGCCATCGTCTCCCCCCATCCCCTCCGTCATCCTCCCGCTCCCCCGGAGCCCCCCCGGCCGCAGAGCAGCGCCCACCGTTCACGTTCGCGCGGTGCCGGGGACGCGGGGCTGAGGCGGCGACAGAACGAAACAGGGCTGGAAAACACCACCCGCCTTCCCCGCAACGCCACGGCCCCGCACCGCCTCTGCCGCTCGAGGGCTCCCCGGGGAGAGGAGAAGGCGCGGGGGGGTTCGAGGCCCACGGGTGAGAACGGGGAGGGGGGGGCCGGGGCTGCCCCTGCCCGGCTGCGTCCCGGCGTTCGGCAAAGAGAGGCGGGCAGCTGTCGGCTCATTCCTTTTTAATCCGGCCGAGGAGTGATGCCGAGGGCACGGAGAGGGACGGGGCTTTGCGTGGCCCCACCGGGAGGCCCCAACTCAAAGCGGTGCAGTAAATTCAGCGGTGCACATCCCCGAGGGACCCCCAGGAGGGGATGGAACCCTCGGACTTTGCTCCCCACTGTGGCTCGTGGCTGCTGGGGATGGCAGCACTGTGCTGTGCACATGTGAGAAGGGAACCACACGCCCACACTGCGTGGGGATGCGCTGAGAGCACAACGGGGGCGGATGGAGATGGGGGCGTGAGGTGAGAAGCCCCCGATGAACGGAGCTCCTCAACCCCCCCTGGCCCTATGTGGAGGTGAAGGAGATGGCACGGCCACCAGGAGCCGAGCCGTGGGGGGCAGATGGGGACAGCGGGAGGCAATGAGCGGCCGCACGCAGCGTCCTTCCCAGGTCGGCACGGAAGCGTCGGATGCAGAAGCAGTAGACGAGGGGGTCGAGGCAGCTGTTGAGGCTGAGCAGAGCCACACTCAGCACGTGCAGCACATCCAGGGCGGCCGGGGGCCCGCAGGGCGGCGTCGGGGGCCGACTGCCCACCCAGGGAGCCAGCATCAGGTGATAAGGAGCCACGCACACCGAGAACACCAGCAGCATCCCCAGCACCATGGTGCGGGCCTGCTGCCGATGCGACCCCGAGGAGGGGACGGCGGTGTCGGACAGCGAGCGGGCGATGGAGGCGTAAGCACCCAGCACCACCACGAAGGCGACAGCAAAGAAAGCCACCATGGCGTAGGCATAGGCCCGCTGCCGTGTGTGCTGCTCAAAGCAGGCGGTGGCTCCGGCACGCGCCGGTGAGGTTTGCCGGGAGCTGAGGGCGGGTGCAGCACAGCCCAGACCCAGCAGCCACGCCGCACCGCACGCCAATGCTGCCCCACGGCGCCCCGCCAACGGCAGCGCCCGGCGCACCGCGCTGAGCCGATCCACGCTGATGAGCGCCATGAAGGTGACGGCGCTGTAAGTCGCCAGGTAATAGGCGGCGCCAGCCAGGCGGCACGCGGCCTCTGGCAGCATCCAATCCCCCCCAGCCAGGTAATAAGGGATCCAGAGAGGCAGCGTGAGGTTGAAGAGGATGTCGGCCAGGGTCAGGTTGATGAGGTAGATGCGGACGGCTTTGCGCACTTTGCCGCGCTGCAGGAAGACCAGCAGGGCCGCCAGGTTGCCCGGCAGCCCCACGCACAGCACCAGGCAATACACGACAGGCAGCAGCACAAACTGCACCGGGTCGCTGGGCACGCACGTGGCCGGCGCCGAGATGTTCATCCCAGGGTCCTGAGGAGATGGAATCCAGCACAGGGCTTGGCTTGGCTCCATAGAGACGCTCTTGCCCCCCGCCCCCCCCCCCCCCCCCCCCCACACAGCCCGCACGGCGCACTCTGAGAGCGGCAGGCACAGCTGTGCTGTGGCCATGGGGCTGAGCTGCAGATGGCAGCACCCGGAGGTGCTGTACTGGCTCCAGCTCAGTGCTGTGGGGTGTAACGCTGATCCCCCTGCTCTGCCGTGCCCCCATCGCCCCACATCCCACCCAGAAGTCAGCACACAGGGGAGCACACGATGGGGAGAGGTCACAGCATGGGGCAGTTTGTAGCCCCAGCCCTGCAGAGCTCTCCCAGCACTGTGCACCCACGGACTCATCGCCGTTCTCCAGTTCTGGGCATGGAAAACCTCTCTCTGTTGTAATCCCCATAGCACAGAGCTGCAGCAATTTCACCTCTCATCACAGCTGCCCACACCTCAGCGATGGCTCTGAGTCACCCAGCGGGAGGCTCTCAGCACAGCAGGGCCAGACTCAGTGCAGCATCGAACACTGTATCAATGCAGGGTTCATCCAGTGGGCCTGAGCTGCCTTGCAGATCCCCAGATCCCTTAACAATCCCTGTTTCTTTTCCCTTTTACTGGCAAATAGGGGACGCACCCACCCAGCCCTGCACCCCACACTCAGGGCATGGTCCCAAGCTCCATCCCATCCCTGCTCAGCAGGATGCTGCAGTCACACTGAGCTGATTGCTTACCACGCGTCCCCTCCAGCTGCTCTGAGTCGTCTGGCAGAGCTGGGCTGCAGGGAGCTTTAAATGCTCTGGGTGGGTTGGGAGTGCTTCATTTCCACCCCTATAGGAGTGAGTGCAGCCAGAGAGAGGAGGCACCTGTGTGTGTTTGTAATGGGGGAGGCCACGCTGGAGCCATGCTAAGACCCCCGCGCCAGCGTGGGCTGGGGAGAACGGGGGGGAACCTCCAGGCCCATTTCCCAGGCCCCACATGAAAGCAGCAGAGGTCAAATTTCTGCACTCAACAGCTGGGGGGAAGGAGGGGGAGGAGGGGGCAACCAAATGGGATCAAAGCCGGAATCTGCCTCTTTGTGCCTTCATTTGCTTCAAAGGGGGATTCAGTGGGAGTAGTGCCCCGGGTCCCCCCAGCACCACAAAGAGGAGGCAGCCCCCTCCCTGCTGCCTCACACAGCAATGCTTGGGTGCTGTTTTGGGTCAGGATCCCCCACTGGAGGTGCTGTGATCAGTTTGCCCCAAACGTGTCCCAGCCTCTTTGATGGTTGATGCGCAGGGTTCCAACGTGACCTCGGGGTTGTGCCCAGCTCTCACCACAGGGCACTGAATGCATCCTGGAGGGCAGATGTGCCCTGACAGAGCAGGGTGCTCAAGAAGCTCTGCTGAAATAGGGTGGGGTTGGGGACACGGCTGCTGTCCCACCTGGATGTGCAGTGAGCAGCTGGGCGCATTGCGGGGTGACCGCAGGGCTCCCATCCCATGCAGACGCTGCCCCTGCATGACATCCACATTGCCATCATCCCCAGGCGCTGCTCCAGCAGCCCAGCACCCCCTGCCACACCTCAGGGACCCCCCAGTCCTGCAGCTCAGCGTGGAGGGAGACAGAAACGGAGGAGGCAAAGCATGAAAAAAACAGAGGCTTTATTCCAAAAAACCACAACCCCCCTCCCTCAGGAGCCCAGCGCCAGCCCAGCACCGCAGTGATGGCAGTGCCACGGTCACCATCCATCCCGCAGCCGGGACAGCACACAGCAGCGCGGTCACATCGCTCCACAGCAAGCAGAGCCACCGCTAAAACCGCCCCGACGGCACCGAACGGCCGCGGCCTCCCGTCACAGCACCGCCGTCCTCGCTCCGTCCCGGCTCATTCTGCCTTGGCCTTGGCAGGCGCTGCGTGCCCGCGGACGTTGAGCAGCAGCAGCAGCCCGAGGCACAGCGTGGCGGGGGCACACATGGCCAGCGGCTCCCGCAGCGCCAGCAGCGTGTAGATGGCACCTGGGGGGGCACGGGACGCTGGCACGGGGCGAAGGGCGGCGGAGGGCATCCCCGACACCCCCTCCCCGCTCCCCCCCCCCCCCGCCGGCTCTCACGCACCGATCATGACGACGCTGAGCACGAAGTTGCTGATCTCCTGCAGCAGCTGCGGCCCGAAGGCGAGGAGCAGCCCGGCCACCGCCTCCACCGCACCGACGGCCGTCAGGTAGGAGCCGGGAGAGGGGGAGAAGCCAAAGTCCCTGAGGGGGAACACCTCCGCGAATCGCACGAACTGCTCCTGCTGGAGGGCGCAGCGCAGGGCACGGCTCCGGCATCGCTGCCCACGCGGAGCTCCGTGCGGCGCGGCGCCCCCCGGGACCCCCTCACCATATGGCGGTGCGAGTCGGCCGAGAGCCGCTCCGAGAGCTTCACGGAGCCCGCGAGAAGGAAGAAGAGCCCTAGGAGAACGCGAAGAGCCCGGAACGCCGCCGCCATGGCCGGGATGGGGCGGGGATGGGGCGGTGCGGAGCGGATCGGGACGGCCCTTCCGGCTGCTGCCGTCCTCCGGCCGCTGCCATCCCTGCCCCTACCCGTGCTCCTATCCCTGCCCGCAGCTCGGGATGCAGCGGTGCCGGTGCCGAGCCGCTGCTGGCATTGCTGTTCCCTGCCCTGCTGGAGCACCGACCGATGGCAGCACGCAGCTCTGGCGGCCCGCGAGAAAGGGGAAAGAAAAAGAGCTGGCCCTCTCTGCAACGCTGGGGTCGGCAGCTCCAGGCCCCGCACGCGCGGCAGTGCTTCATTAAGTGCAGAAAGGATCCAGCGCTTCTGCAGGGACACACAGGAGCGAGCTGCGGGAGAGCAGCGCGGAGAGGAAGGAATTTTCCCTTTGCTTGCGAAAAACGCCTTCCTTCAGCAGGGCTGAGGCACAGATGGGAGCCGGCTGCAGTTTTTTTGTGCAGAAGAGCAAAATCATTGCAGCGTCTGTTTGCTTCCCTCTGCTCCCCGGGCCCGGCAGTGCGCTGTGCTGGGAGCGGAGCAGCGCTGCCCCTCGGCTGCGCGTCATCGCCGCAATGACTCAGAGCTCAGCAATAAATAACAGCGCCCCGCGCAGCCCTGACCTCACGGGAAGCAGCTGCGGACAAAACGCGGCTCCTTCTTCCACCGAACCCCTCGTCCAGCCCCACCTGGGATCCCGCTCTTTAGATTCAAGGACCCCCTTCTAGGAGTCGTTCATCGTTTGTCGGGCCTTAAAGGAATCGTCCCCATTCAGCACAAGGCCAGACAGCAGCAGCTGCCCCAGGCGCGTTCGTTCTGCATCTCACCGCCCCATCCCCCTCCCAGCAGCAGCCAGCAATCCCAGCTCCAACTGCTCCCAGCACAGCCCTCCGTCCAGCACGGACCCCAACACCACAGGCGCCCACCCTCCATCCCACGCTTTGCACATAGAGTTGATCAGGCTGATGAAACAGCAGAACTGACGCCTCAGCTCCAGCAGGCAGGGAACAACAAGCAGCTGCCGGCACAGCGTGCGCTGATGGAAACGCAGCGCGAGTCGTGGCTCAGGTGGCAGAAGGGCAACAGGGAGAGAAAAAATGAGGGCTTTGTGCAGCCCTCCAAAGCACATCCATCAATTTCCAATATAAAAACCACCGTTTGCTTATAAAAGGTGTAGGAGGTGAAGAGAGATGTGAACGCTGATGTCACTGAGGGGGAAGCAGAATTAGGGCAAGTTAGTGGAAAACAGCAGGAATTTGAGGGGAAAAAAGGCTGCATGAGAGGACAGCAGCCATGGAGACAAGACAGCAGTGCAGTTCATGCTCTTTGAAGAAGCAGCAGTGGTTGGAACAGTGACGTTTGAGCCATTGCAGAGCAGCTCTCAGGGCTGAGGGCCTTTCCCCTTCTCGTGCTGCCCTGCCAGCAGGGGGATGAGCAGCACGATGCACGGCTGGCCCAGGCTGACCAAAGGGACGCCCCCCAGCATGCGGTGCTCTGCTGGGCAGTAAACACGAGGGAAGCCTGGCGGTGCTGCCTGCACAGCAGATGCTGCACTTGATCCCAAGGGCAGGAGGCGCTCAGCCCCAGCGCTGCAACACCACCAGGAGCCACCTCTGCAGGTAAGGCAGCTCCAGTTCTCTCCTCAGGCTTCCTCCTCCTCAGTTAGAACTGAAGTCTAAATTAAGAGGGGAGTAGTTTAACTTTCTGAACATCACACAGTACTGATGAATCTAATTAGCAGAACCTAATCACCAAATTCGTCTGCTAACAGCACGTAACGCAGCACCACTGCACCTCCTGCAGTCACTGCACTGCAGTTCAGGAACCACAGAACCCCTCCTGGAAATCTGACAGCTGTCAGTAATGCAGAGATGTCAAAAACACCAACAAATCCTTCACCTCACTGCACCAAGATGTGAAACACAACAGCTCACGGCTCCAGCGCAGCGCCAACCTTCCCCAGTGCAATTATGCAGAGTGGCTTTAATGCATCACACCTGTCCTATCCAAGAAAATCAATTTGAACCATGGAAACTCGCGCTTTAAGAGCAGAAAAAAAAAAGCACTGCTCTGGTTTTCAGGGAACTCCAACCCTGGCATCCAGCTTTAACTGCTGCAGTCATTGAGTAAATGACGACAAACCAATCGAGCAACGTGCAAACACTGAGAAATCCAACAGGCACACAGAGCCCTGCAGATGGGGATGGAACGGGTGGAACTTCCAGCATCAACTCAAGTGCCTCAGGGGAAAGAATCCAGGAAAAAATCAAGCTAGTCATTCTCACAAAAGCCCACACGGCTGCACGCTGGTCAGGAAGCACAGCTACCCCACAGCTGGCGTAGGTCAACTGGCAGAACAAGGCCAGGGCAAGGGCACAGCAGGTGAAAAACAGACACGTCCCAGCCCTCAGCTCAGGGCGGTCGCCTCGTGTGTTTGCCACGTGAAGCCCAGTGCCTGAACCCCTTCCTCACCCAATGCTCAAAGCACATCCTGCATTCCCCTCCCACAGGCTCGCACTGCAGGCGGTTACTCAACACAGAACGTAACGGCTCACCTGCTGAATGCACTCCACAACAAAACAAGGCAGCATTAAGAAAATTCAAATACTTTATTTTTAAAAACTCCTGGAACGTTCCTGGCTCCTCTTCACTGCATTTGGGCTTCGTCTTCTTCTGCAAGTACAAAGCGTGCCGTTAGCCAGAACATAGAAATCGCCACCAGAAATCACAAGCAGCCACACAGAAAGGGAATCAGTGCATCACAAAGGAAGGTCATGCACCTGACAGACTCTCTCTAGAATCTTAAGGTCTCTTGTTAGGCTTGAGATGAAATGAACAGCATCCACATCGTCCTCTACTTCAAACTTAAAAGATCTGAAGTGGCTTCGTGCTTCACTACCCAAGAAACAAGAGCAGCAGTGACAAGTCACATTGGATTCAATCAGTTCACTGATTGAATCTCATCACCTTCACGACTTGCAGGGTGAGCTGCAGCACGTCTGGGTTGTCACTTACCCCTCCCTCGTGTTACAGAACTTTGCATGTTACTCTCCACTCAAGATTTAAACAAATCTGCAGCTCCCCTTGTAGTTTAAGTAGCAAATTAGAGGGAAGATGTCATTAATTCCAGCTCTACAAGTTACTTTATTTCCCTAAACCACTACCTGCTCCTTCTCGTTAAGTTCAGTGTTCGTTAACTATTTCAAAAACACAGCTTTTGTAGCAACTTTAACACTTAATTATCTGCTTCATTGCTCTCCTCCTTTGCTGACAATCACTGCACCCCATTCCCAGCCCATCCACTTCAGCCTCAATCTTAGGCATGATCATTTCCTGCCCTGACCACCTGCAGTGTTCAGAAAACGGTTTTGCGTGATGCTGCATGGCTGAAAAGCCTAAACCAACAGTTATACCTTGGCTCCACGAAAGAAATACAGCTTTTATATAAAAATGAGATCAATCACAGAAGCTTCAGGCAGGAATTACCCCACACATCCCCTTGCGATGTGCTGCTCTAACAGATCAGCAGCCTAAGGGCATTCTCTACTTACTTGTTGCCTTGTTCCCTTGCTCCACTCACATCACGGGACATCACGCTGGATGTGCTCATGCTCAGCTCCTGAACTAGAAAAATCATCACAGCTTTTATCAACAGCAGGTCTGCAATCTGTCATACAAACAGAAAGGTGTTTCTGACCACTGTTCCCAAGTGCCAAACCCAGGTCACAGCCCCACACCAAGTCCCACATCTCACACACTCGCTGCTTGTTTCCCACTGACTGCACACCAGCTGCCCATTTTGTTATTCCTCCCATTCAGAACAGGACAGGGCTGTGCTTACCTCTCATGGATGAGCACCCCAGTTTCACTCAGCTCGCATCTTCACCTAAAGGATAACAAGTGAAGTTATTACAATAACATACAGAAACTTCTAACCATTTCAAAGCTAACTTAAAAAGCAAAGATTTCAGATACGTGGACTGATTAGTTATGAAGGGGAACTTACAAACTATTCCAAAATATTAAATGGAAGAATAAGGGGCAGAAATAGGCTAGCCTAAGCACTTGTAAAGAAGTGAAGGAAAATGCATGTAGTTGACTGAAGAACTGCACCTTGTCAGAGCACAAACCGTAAATCACCAGTCTGAGTACAATGTGGTTTGATTGCAGCCAGAGGTATACTATCCCTTATGTGAAGGCATTAAGGATTCCAATCAAGCTACTTCTTCTATTTGAGCCTAGTTTGTCTCCTGTACAATGCCCTCTTCCTTCTGCTTCGTGAAGGAGTGCAGTGCCCCTTATTCCTAGCAGCCCCCAGTTCAATAGTCCTAGAAGTGCTTCAAAAGCCAAAGGAAGACACTAGAGATTAGCACTGGAAGTCTACTGCTTTTATTCTAAGCGACAGCTTCTTCCCTTCTGACCTCCCCCCCTTTTACTTACAGCTTAATTGAGGGCAAACTTCAATGGTTAGCAACTAAGGATGTAGCAGTACAAGGTTCTGTGCACACCTCAAGCTGGGAGGCGAATCGCAATGCTCACAGTGGGATTTGACCAGGTAGGGAAAAGTTCAAGTTTAGTCTCCAACCCACCACCTGGGTTTTATCATGGCCCTCGGGAGCAGAAAGAGAGTATGCACATTTTGTTTTCTATGCCATAGCAACAAACACCATGCATAAGGGATACTATATCTTTGTGCATCCTTTTAACACTCCAGATTCACTTCCATAGCCACACTCCTCCCAGCCCTCCCAGTTAGCTCTTCAGTACTGGTGCTCAGAAGCAACATTTATAGAGATGGGGTTTCACAGACCACTGCGGGATTGCACAGCCAAGTCCTAACATGTCAATCATTACCTAGCAGCAATGACAGAAGTGGGAGAAGGCCAATCCTCCCTTTTTTCCTTTTCCAGTAAGTAGCTATTTAAGAGCCCCACTAGCTGGTATAGAGAGAGAAATCTGAAGCTAATTAGCCGATTCCAAACTTCCTAGTAGTGGAAGAAGCCAAGTAATTAGTCA